GCCTACCAGAACCACGGCGGCTTCCAGAACGCGCCCCCCTACCAGCCCGCTCGCTCCCCGGCCCCGACCCACTCCAAGGAGCAGCCCATGGGCGCCACGAAATACTGTGGCCAATGTGGTGCGGGCGTTACGACGCCTTACTGCCCTAACTGTGGCATCTCGGTGTAAAGGGGAGGCGGGGTTTGCGGTGTTGTGAGTTTGGGCATGGCGGGGTTGGGTTGGGCGGTGCTTTGCTAACCTTGGCATAGTCTGATACACTCGTACCTCGCCGCACGCGAGCTTGTCGCTGGTCTGGCCATCCCGGGTCTCGTTGAGTACACAGCGTGGCGCGTCGTGCCTGCGGATTGCCCACACTGCGGACACCGGCTGCGGCCCGACTCGTTGCCACCCATTCCGTGGTACGAGACTGTCTCCCGGCCGAAGGTGTCGCTCCCGCGGATCGCGGCGCCGTCCATCCCCCGACCGTCGCTCCCATCCTTCAGCGTGGGCTTCAAGGGACCCCGCGAGTGGAAGGTCCCGAACTGGATGAGGGGCAGGAATGCAGATGCCAGCCTCTTCATCGACGATGAGCAGAACGAGCGCGATCGGTACAGGGACGACCCTGACGCGCCGTTCGAGGGGCCGCCAAGCACAACTACCGCGGTTGCCACTGGATCTGCGGGCCCTGGTCCGGTAGAGGAGGTTGTAGTAGGAAAGAAAGATAAGAAGACGAGGGGCTCCTCAACCCCGGCACATGTTGACGACGAGGTGGCTATCTGGTAGGGCGCCGACGCGGGGGCTTTGCTGCTTTTACCCCTTGACGGCCGTACGGATATTATGCTTTTGCGAGCGGATGTTTTACGATGGTTTTCATGTTTCAACTTGCTGGAGTTCACGATCAGATACCCAATCTTTGTGTCGACTTTACTGGGTTAGCCATCTTGTCTTCTCATCAATTTTCATTATGTTCGCTCAGAAAGTAGAACGCGTAACATTTGGATAAAACCCTATTGTGTTTCCAGAAATTGCTCCCCTTGTTAGTCATTAAACAGTACGGTTGCTGTAGCAACGAATAGGGGCTATCAAATCAACCTAAGTACGACCCCCTACGTTACGTTTTTCATTGATGGACAGGAACAGTGAGGTTATATGTGACGAACCTACTTCAGGACCCTGTCCTGTTAGGGTTCAGCTTCGGTTGAAGGTAATCTTTCAAGGGTGCTTAGGTTCGGTGCAGCCAAAGGGTGCACAACAAAGACTTGTCTCAACAGTAGGCTTTCGAGCTTGTAGCGAACTGTAGTTGTGATTGCTAACTGGAGAACTCCCAGAGTCCTCCAGAACGGGTGACTATATACTAGCTAATTCTTGGGTACCTCCGTACCTGGATCGAGAATATTTCCATGATCCTGCGATCCGTCCTGGATCATTAGATCGCTTCTCGATCCAATGATCCATTCCTGATTGGCCACCCTCGGATCGCGTTTGCAGCTCTCGATCCGGTTCCCATTGGAGGAGGCCCTTCTTTGCCGATTGGCTCGGGCACTACCAGCGTGACCCGCCGAGTCGTCTGCATGCGACCATATCGTGACATTGTACTCATACCTCGTCAAGTAGGTCCCAATCCTTCGCAGCAGGGATAGATCCCCGCCCGGGGGGTTCATACAGGCAGATTTCAGCCCCCAACTCACCCTTCTGCCTGTCCGTCTAACTACCCCAATAACCCGTTACCTAACAGCCCATACCGCCATCATCAAACAACGCCATCACGAAACAACCTCCACCAGAGCAAAACCCATCAAATAAAATAACCTTTCAACCCCCTCCAACTCCGCCCGCTGGGGCTAGGGGAGAGAGGGTGGTGGTGGAGGTGGATGTTGTTTTGGCGGGTGAGTTCCGGTGTTGTGTGTTGCTTTTGGTGTTGGTCTTTGGGGCTTGAGTGTGTCAGTGTGTCTTGTGGGGAAGTGGCTGACACCTTACTTGGGCATCTCGGCGCTCTAAAATCCCTTGCCGGCGCAACGACTACCAGAACGGCGCAGAAATCGGCGGGGATGCGTTCGTAGAGTGTTCTCTCTGTGCAGCAGCTGTGGCGGGCCAAAATGCATGCGTTGTATCAGCGGGAAGCACAGCGGAACTTTGGCGATCGGGAGTGCCTTTGCATGAACTTCGCTAGCGAGGTCACCGAGGCAGGGGGGACGTCGAAGACGAGCGGAACAACGTTGTGGCAAAGTATCGGGAGAGGCATTCTGGTTCGCGGAAACTGGTGATCAAGGGGTTGATGGCGACGATGAGGCTGCGGGGAGAAGGGGAGATGGAATAGTTATGTGTGACCAGGGGCCCGAGAAGCGAGTCCGAAAGAGAGAGGGAGCGGCAAGGAGGCTGATATTCAATTGGCTCGTCATATTTCCATCACCGTGTGGTGGAACTTACAAGGCAGCTGTTCAATCTCCTCGACCGACAGACTTGCGTGCCTCGGCCGCGCACCATCATTGTCTGCGCTGTTAAATCTTAGTCCGACGTTGCGAGGGCGAGAGCGAGGGCAAGGGCGAGGACGAGGACGTGTTGGAATATTGACAGGTCACTGCCGGAACTTCAGACCAGGTTAACGAAGCAAAGTTGCGCCCCGGGGAGTTTGCATCTTCTAGAACACCCTGCTTCGTCTCACCTGACTGGTTCCCTTGTTCACTTCGCTCATACCCACCGCCGACCTACACCCCGCTGCCGTTACTGCCACACTGTTGCTGGCCGGCTACGTGCTGATGGGAGTGCCATCGTTGGCGGTTTAATGTCCGACGCGAGCTTTAACCTGACGTCTTGGGGGCTGGCACAGGAGCGGAGTGGGATGTTGGAGTAAAACCCGGGTGGTGCCTGTGAGAAGCCCGATTGTCGATTCACTTGAGGCCAAAGAGGAAATGGTGGGTAGTTTTTTTTGTTTCGGTATATAAGTCATGAATACTTCGATCAAGGCATGTATAGTCATATGTTTGCACCCCTAGTGAAACGAGCCATCCGACCCCAAACTGTGCTCTGCGCCCTGCTCTCCTTGCCCATGATGGCCGGCCCGGTCTACCCTTTCCGCCTGGGATCGTCCTAGCTGCCGTTCAAAGCCCGTGGCAGGGCCGCCGGTGGTATTGCTGTCGTGGGTGGGCTATCGGGTGTGCATCGCATCTGCATTTTCTTTTCATGCTTAGAGCTTGCGCTCTGAGCGATCCGGTACTGGGTGAGAAAGTGGTCAACAGGGTGATCCAACAAGATGCAAGAAGAAATTGTATTAGCGGGCGCGAATACATACCACCGCTTGCCGCCTTAGCCATGTCTCCGCCGCCCGTAACCTAGACGGCGACGCCAGCCACGGCAAGGCCGGCCGTGATGACCGGTACACGAAGGGACCGCATGTACGCGGCCCGGGCGCACCTCTGTTGCTCGGTGATGGCCGATGCTAACTTGGCGGCCGCGATTGACTCTTCGACCGTCTTGGCCTTGACAACCATCTTGCCAGAGTGCACAACGATGTCGAATGCATCCTCTGATGTCACTGAATAAATCGAGCATGGCAAGAATCAACGCCACCTCAAGATTAGGGAACCCGAATGTTCTTACCCTTGGTGACAGGATGGTAGTCAATTTTAGGAGTGGAAATAGCCGTTTTGTCGTCGGGGACAGCCAAGTTGAGAGTATGGATTGTTTGAGGAATTGTGTGGGTATGAAGATTAGCCATGGTGAAATAATTGGCTGGTCGTCCCGGCGGAGATGCGAGGTTGATGGGTTTGGTTGTTGTCCGTGGGAAGTAAATGGGTGGTTGGTTGGCATGTTAGAGATGGCAAAGGACCACTTCATATACACAACAAATATCGCGTGTGAGGGATGTCAAAGCGACTAACCTCTTGATATCCTTTTCCTGTGTGCACGGGCAGTGAAGGAATTCTCGTCCCATGTCTTCCCTGTTTCTTTTCATACCACCTGTGTGGCCATCCTATGCTTGAGTGCATCCGAGCTTTGAACAAAGAATTGACAGCTACCTTACCTAAACACACCATTGAGTCACCACCCATTCCATAACCATTCTAACAAGCTGGAACTTGCTGCTGGAATATGCACATATGGGGGAGTACTTAATCACCAACCCATTTCATCATTTTTATTCCAGTTTCCTCGTTTTAATTCTCTGTAACACTGCTTCTTCTGCCTCTTCAGCATCAAGCTAGAATTGAACGCTATGTCAACGATACCGTCAAGTCTTGGTCACTAAACTCAGTTTCCTAACTTGAAGCTCAAGTGAGTCGGTCCATGTTGGTGTAAATGATTGTACCGGAAGTGATATTGACGAATTTTGGCCCCTAGGATGTGAAGTCGCCGTCCCAGACGAGCTTGTCGACCATGCCCGGCTGCTTTTCACCCAAGATTGCTCGACACGCAAAACTGCGCCGACTTGGAGGACCTCGTCGACGGCATGGGCTCGGATGGATGATGGGGCTGTCAAAACCTCGATTTGGATCGAGTGCCGATCGAATATATCACACGTAAAAACGAGCAAATCTGCGAGTCCCGGCCGGGTCTTCCTGGCCTCATGGCGTCGCTCTCATTAAGCCCTGAGGTAAGGAGGGGGCGGGCACGGGTTGTCCGGGGGAAGGTCGCGAGGATGACCCCGAAATATTCAGAAGCGATCTACTCAACAAGATTTCGTCCAAGGGATTCCCCAGATCCTCGGCTGGATAGCAGTCGGCAGGTTGTAAGGCACAGGCGGCACGATGGCATCGGAAAATCGGCAACAACAAACGCCCTCGCACGTCGCACTTGATGAACGATTGTGAGGCGGCAGGTTGCAGCGTGTTAGGTTAGTCACTTGGCCAGCGGTGTCTTGGGCCTAGAGGTGTCTACGTGTGCAGGGCAGTCAGAAGCCCAGCGACTTCACTGCCAGCGTGTTCGGGGATTCGTCAGTGGCAAAATGGGGACCGAGACACCGAAACCCAATTGCTGCTGGGTGCGGGGCTGCAAATCTGGAAAAGCGGGGATTAGTGGCTGACACACCTTGCAACGATCTGCCAAACCCGTGGCTGTGCCTGAACAGCCCCACGTTCCGGCGCTCAAACATGCTGTCAAGCCAAGCCAGCCTCGCGCCGCCAACACAACACACCCCAGTTCAGCCCCTGGAATCGTGGCCGAGTCATCCACAACTCGAAACCCATGCAGCCCATGATGGCGGCCCACAGCTGGTCACGCTTGCGCGCGCCAGTTCTCGTGCGCTGGAGCACTGGACCCCCTTTCTTCCCCATGGATTCTTCAAGGTTCAAGTGAGGGTTATTAGGGCTTTTCCCCTTCTTTCATTTTGTTCTTGCACCGACAACTCGACCCCTGGTTAGCTAGTTACGATGCCCTTCTACGCCAACACGCCCGAGGCGCGACTGGGCCGCGCAGATTCGTTGGACCCGGCAACGACATGCAGAGGTATCACTTCCGGCGGCCGCCCATGTCGTCGTCCACTGTCTGCAGATGACGAACCACCGGCTAGTTCGCGCTTGAGGCCCGCGAAAAAACGCACCGATAATCCAGCAGACGAGAGCCTGTACTGCTGGCAGCACAAGGACCAGGCCAGTGCCTCGGCGCAGTCGACCCCGGGGCCAAAGTTGTCTCATACGCCCATTCTGGAGGGGCGAACTAGCATAGACACACTTGCCGAACGCCTCGGGCTCGTCCGCACACAGTCCCAGAAACCGCAGTATGGATGGGGAAGTGGGAACCCCTCAAGCAACACGGCCCGACCAAAGTCGAAAACCACATTCTGCTGCTGCTTCAGCCTCCCCTCCTTCGACGAGGTCGAGCTTCCCCCGCGCCCGAAACCCTACCCGGTACAGCCAGCGTCCACGTCCCACAGGCCGGGGGGCAAGAAGAAGAGCTCGGGCCGACGCAAAGCCTCGTCGCTCATCCCCGACGACCTCCCGGAGGAGACGACCGCCCAGCTCGTCGGCGAACTAGAGAAGACCGTCTCGCAGCAAGACGAAGCAGGATACATCTACATCTTCTGGCTCACGCCCGAGTCCGAACCGGCCACGCCGCCCGCCGAGGCAGCCCGCTCTTTGCTGGCGCCACCCTCCACATCCAACCGCGGCCGCCGACCAAGCGACGTCCTCTCCACCTTCGCCCGGCTGGCCATTGGCGACGACAGCGACAACGACAACAACAACGCAGGCGGCCAGCAAGGCGGCCACAGCAAGCCCAAGAAGAAGGTGCTCCTCAAGATCGGGCGGGCGACCAACGTGCAGCGGCGGCTGAACGAGTGGCAGCGGCAGTGCGGCTACAACCTCTCGCTGATCCGCTACTACCCCTACGTGCCCTCCAGCAGCCCCGGCAGCGCGGCGCCGCGCAAGGTCCCGCACAGCCACAAGGTTGAGCGCCTGGTGCACATTGAGCTGACGGGCCGCGGCCTGCGCGTGGCCGACCGCGAGAAGTGCGAGGCCTGTGGTCGTGAGCACCGCGAGTGGTTCGAGGTCGAGGCGTCGCGGAGCGCGGTGGCGGCTGTGGATGAGGTGGTGCGGCGGTGGTCGGATTGGGATGAGGGGTTGCTTTAGGGTGGCTGTTGTATTTGGCATTGCTTTGGCGTTTGTTCATGCATTTTGGGGGGGTATTTGAAGAGGTGCATCGTAGGCATTTAATGACGGCAATATCACAGCGTTGATCTCGCGAGAAATGTGACGCACTCCCAACCCATGTCGCTGACAATCTCGCACTCCAAGGCCTGATTTCCATATGCTTGCCCAACCTAGGGCGCCTGATGTAATAGCAATGTTATGCTAACAAAAAGTCTAGTACCACTATAGTAACGCCGACCATACCCCCAATCCCTCAAACGCAACGCCAAACACCACCCATGTATGCACACCACATCACCACCCCACCCCCATCGCCTACCACCCATCTACCACATCACAATCCCCCAGCACCACTCACCACCACCACCCAACACCACCGGCAATGAATTAAACCCCACAATCCCATCCGCCAGCACCTCCTCCCCCCGCCGCATCGACACCCGCCGCCCAATGATGCCGTCGCTGCCCACCTGTAGCGAGAGTGCGGCGACCAGTGCCGTTTCCTCAAAGTACCCGTTTGGGGCGCCGTCGTGTGGGCTGCTGCTGCTGCTGGAGGTGGAGATGCTGCTGCTGGGACTGGAGGGGGCAGAGGTGGTGTGTGAGGGGGATGGGGGGCTGCGGAGGGTGAACTGCTGCATTAGGCCGGCGTCGGCGAGCGGTTTGGTGAGATCGCCTGTTAGGCTGGTGGGTGCACGGGGTGTGTTAGTTGGGTGGGTTGTGGTTTGTGGGGGGGGGCGGGCATAAATGGACGGCAGGGGGGACGGGAAAAAGGGGGGACGTACTGGATGGATACTAGCAGGCTGTCGTCGAAGGGGGATTTGCAGCTGCTGGTGGTGGGCTTGGCTGTGGCAGGCTGGAAGAAGCGGACGTGGGTGGCGTGGGCGCTGGAGGGCGAGGTCGGGTTCAGGAAGAGCAGGTTGCCCAGGCTGCCGCGGCCGCTGGGGGAGGAGAGGTCGACGCGGGCGCCGATGCGGGGGGTGGAGGAGGGGATTTCGGGGCCGCACATCTTGAGTGGCTTGGTGGGGAGGCGGGTAGTACTGGTTTTGGTGGGTTGGATGGAGGTCTGTCTCTAGGTTTGTCGGTAGGTCGTGGGTGATGGGGGAGGATAAGTCAAAAGAGTCCCAGGAAAGTTTTTGGATGATATGGGTTGGCAAGTCAAGTCGACGTTGTGGTCGAGTTGGATGAAGTGAATATTTAGATTTGAGATGACGGGCAGGACATTCTGAACTTTATTCGCCCTGGTAACAACCTCTTGGAGATAACTTGCTCCATTCCACGCTCCATTCCACTTTCTGTCTCGGAACATGAGCCTGAGTCGTGGCCTACCTTGCGAGCTGGTGGCCAGCAAGGTAGTCCCTCAAGGTGCCCTGATCAGCGGCCCGTCGTGTCGTTTGAGCCTGCATCGAGACCTGCTAAAGATGCCCAGAGATGCCCAGATCGCCCCAACAAGGGACCACCACAAACCAATCAAGCCCGCTGAAACATGCC